GTACCTGTAGTCCCAGCTACTTGGGAGGCTGAGGCAAGAGAATTGCCTAAGCCCAAGAGCTGGAGGTTGCTGTGAACTGTGACACCACAGCACTCTACTGAGGGCGACAAAGTAAGACTCCGTCTCAAAAAAAAGAAAGAAAAATAAATAAACAAACAAACAAACAAACAAATAGTTGGTCATAGTGGCACACACCTATACTGTCCCAGCTACTCAATAGGCTAAGGCAGGACATTGCTTGAGCCCAGGAGTTCATGGCTGCAGTGAACTATGATTGTGCCACATGCTACTTCACTCTAGCCTGGGTGACAGAGCAAGATCCTGTATCTTTTTTAAAGAAAGAAAAAATAATAATAAAATTACATTTGGTTTTGGAAAGTAGCTAGAAGAACAGAGTGGACCATTCATAAATGCTTCTGCATCCTTACATTTGGCCTACCATTAGTTTTCTAATCTGGTCTTTGGTTTTCTATCACTTTCAGAGGCCAAGAAAAGTGATGAATATTAAATATATGATTCTAGAGGTTAGAAATATATACTGGATGAAATAACATCATATAAATTCATTGTTTCCAAAAATGTAGGCCACTGTAAACTATTAATTCCCCCTTCTTGAAAAACTGCAAGATAAACACAGGTTACACCCAGATTTGGGGGCAAGTGCTTAATGGCTTGCTAGATGGCCTCACCTAGGTTCCTGGTATATTTAGATGGATCTGTCTGGTTCTAATATATGGGCATGGCGGCTCAGCGCCCTTAGCACAGTGGTTATGGCACCAGCCACATATACCAAGGCTGGCAGGTTTGAACCCAGCCCAGGCCCGCTAAACAACAATGACAACTGCAACAAAAATAGCCAGGCCTTGTGGCAGGCACCTGTAGTCCCAGCTACTTGAGAGGCTGAGGCAAGAGAATCGCTTAAGTCCAAGAGCTGGAAGTTGCTGTGAGCTGTGATGACACAGCACTCTATTGAGGGCGACATAATAAGACTCCGTTTGGGAAAAAAAAGAAAAAATATATATATAGGTATGACAATAGATGTTTTCACAAATGAGCACAGTGTCAAGTTAATAACAGTTTTGTGAGGTGTTGGGTAACAACTCTCTGGGAAAGTCCTTGGGCTGAAACAGCTAGTATGTAGGCTTGAGGAGGTGTTTCTAGGAGCAAGAAATGGAACAAGTCTAACCTGAGAGCTTGAGGGAGGGAGAGTGACATAGAGAATCTAGACAATACATCAATATCATCGGGAAGATAAAGAGATTTCCAAGGCTGTCTCTCTCTCTTTCTCTCTCTCTCTCTCTCTCTCTCTCTCTCACACACACACATACACACACACACACACACACACACAGGTCATTCCCCTAGACATGGTCTACTCAGTATATTCATTTGAAAGAAATTTCCTGGCTCGGCGCCTATAGCTCAACCGGCTAAGGCGCCAGCCACGTACACCTAAGGTGGCGGGTT